TAAATATTTGCCTATATGTGTGTTTGTGTACAATATGCATTCCTGGTGCCTGTGGAAACCAGAAGAGAACACTGGACCCCATGAAGCTCTACATGGCTGTGAGCTGCCATGGGAGTGCTGAGAATCAAACCTAGATTGGTTTGTTTCAATACTTTTTGTTTGTTTTTGAGACTGGGTCTCACTATACAGCTCTGGCTGACCTGGAACTCTCTCTGTAGACCAGGCTGGCCTCACACTAGACGAGATCTGCCTGCTTCTACCTCCTGAGTGCTGAGATTTAAGGCATGTGCCACCAGGTCCAGTGTGACCCCTTATCACTCCCTGCCTTCCTGTCTTGAGACCTGGTATGGGTTCTCACTCAACTAGAAGTTCATGGTTTCCTACAAGACTGGCTGGGCAGTAAGCTCTTGGGATCTGCCTGTCCCTGCTTCTCAGTTCTGGAGTTGAAGACACACAGCCATGTCCAGCTTTTTATATGGGTGCTGGGAATTTGAACTCAGGTCCTCAGGTTCTCAGGCTTGCAGAGCTATCGCTGTTATACAGTCATCTCCCCAGGGCCGTAATTAGGATATTTTGCTATAGTTTGTCTATCCACCCTCCATTCTTCTCTGCTGTCACATATGTATAGTAATATTTCACCCCTAAATTTTGATGTTCATACAGTTTTGACCCACTTTTTGAAGAAAAAATTTATTTTATTTGTGTGGGTGTTTTGCCTGCATGTATGTGCATGCCTAGTACAACATGGAGGCCAGAAGAGAGTATCAGATCCCCTGGAACTGGAGTGAGCCACCATGTGGGTTCTAGGAATTGAACCCAGGTCCTCTGGGAGAGCAGCTGATAATCTTAACTGCTGAGCCATCTCTCCAGCCCTGAATCGTTCAAGTTTTGAATTAGTCTATATTTAAATTTTATTTAAAAGTGATTTATTTAATTTATGTGTATGATGTTTTGCTTGCATGTATGTCTGTGTACCACATGTGTGCACTGCCTAGGAGGCTAGAAGAGGGCCTCAGATCCCCTGGAACTAGAGTTAGAGGATTGATTATGAGCTGCCTTGTGGGTCCTGGTTGCTGAAATTGGGTCCTCTGCATGTACAATAAACACTCTTGTCTCTCCAGCCCCTGTCCATTCACATTTTTAATTTCAGCTTTTACTGTATAATTTGAGAGTTAATTATAGACATTATAATACTTCACCCTCAATTCTGTTAAGAATAAAGGTATTTTCATACTCCAGTATTACTGGAGTATAATTATTGTACTTGGAAATGTTAACATTAATGTTCAGTACTGTTTCCTAATATATAGGCTATGTTCAAACTTTTTCAGTTGTTCCTTTTTGAAAGCAGGATTTCAAATAGCCCAAGCTGGCCTCTAAACACTCTGCTCTGTGTAACTGAGGATGACCCTGGACTCTCTCGATCCTTCTATCTTCACTGTTGAGTGCTAGGATTGCAGGTGTGCACCATTATGAATGGTCACTGTAGAACCATTTCTCACCCATTTAGAAAATTGTCTTTTATGGCACTGACTGTCTTAAAGAGTCCAGATTAGTTATTGGCTCACAACCACCTGCAATGCCCAAATCCAAGGGGATCTGATACATTTGGCCTCTGAGGGCACCTGCACATACCCACACACAAACACATACACACAATTAGAAATAAAAGTGCTGGTTTTGTTTGTTTTGAGATAGGTTCTCTATGTAGCCCTAGCTGTCCTAGAACTCACTCTGTAGACCAGCAGGCTGGCCTTGAACTCAGAGATCCACCCACCTGCCTCTGCTTCTTGAGTGTTGGGATTAAAGGTGTGCTCTACCACTGCTCCGCTGAGAAGATTTTTTTTTTTAAAATAAAGTATGGTAGTTGGTTTTTTGTTTTTTTTTTTTCCTTATTTTTTTAAAGAATCAAAGCCAGATGTTGGGCATGATGGCACACACCTGTAACCACAACATTTAGGAGGCTAATGCAGGATTGTGAATTGAAGCCAATTGGGCTACATAATAAAATCTTTTCTCAAACCCAGAAGGGGTTGGGGATGTGGCTTAGTTGATAGAATGCTTATTTAGCATGCACAAAATCCTGGGTTTGATCTGTAACCCTATGTAAGTGTGCCATGGCATGCATGCCTGTAATCTTCAGCATTCGGTAGGTGCAGGGAAAAGGATCAGAGGTTGAAAGCCATTCTTGACCACACAGTGAGTTTGAGGCCAGCCTGGAACACATGCGACCCAATTAAAAGAAAAGTCTAGAAAAACAAAAATAGAATTGGTACCAGAGGCAATGGCTTACGGAGCTGATAGTGGCAGGAAGACTACTTGGCACAGGGATTCAGGATCAGTCTGGACAATAAAGGAGGACCTTTTCTCAAAAAGAGTTCATTAAAGAGTCAGTGTGAGCTGGGCATAGTAGTTCATGTCTGTACCCCAGCACTTCGGAGGATCACATCAGTATAAGGCCAGACAGGGCTTCAGAGTGAGAGCCTGTCTCAGAAACCTCTTGGATAAGAAAGAACCAGTATAGACTTGTTTTTCTCTATTATCTATTTTTAATATGATGCATTGTGGTTTTCAAATATCGCTAATGAAAATTCTATTTTGTTTTTAAAATTAGTCTAATTTGTTTTTGTTTGTTTTGCTTTTGAAATAGCATCTCCCACTTTTTGCTTAGGGTTGCCTAGAACTCACTGCATGTAGCCCCAGACTGGGCTCAAACTTGTGGCAGTCCCCCTGCCTTAGCCTCTTATGTGCTGGATTATATAGACTTAGACCACCATTCCTAGTTATGTGGTTCTGAGGAGTGAAGCCAAGGCTTCATGCATGCTAGAAAAGACAGCCACCTATTGGGTCACACCCCCAGCACCAAAATGCACAGTTTCAAGTCGCTTCTGTGGTAAAATTATCAACATAGCATTCACTTCAATTTGTGAGTTTTGTTTTGTTTTGTTTTGTTTTGTTTTGTTTTGTTTTGTTGAGACAGGAACTCTCTATGTAGTCCTGGCTGTCCTGGAGCTTAATATGAAGACCAGGCTGGCCTTGAATTCAAAGATCCACCTGCCTCTGCTGGGATTAAAGGTGTACATCACCACACATGACCAAATTTGTTTATTTCTTTTGTGCTTATTTTCTTTTACAGTTCTGTCCTTGATTTCATTTTATTCTTAGAATGTGTAAAATTATTAGCATTCAGAAATCAAAATTTTTATATGTGCAACTGGGTGGTGGCAGTGGTGCTACAGCACTGGGGAGGCAGAGGCAGGTGGATCTCTGTGAGTTCAAGGCCAGCCTGGGCTACAGATTGAGCTCTAGGACAGCCAGGACTGTGACGCAGAGAAACCCTGTCTTAAAACAAAAACAAAAAACAGAATTTCTATAATTGCAATAACAAATTTAAACAAGATGGCGGATAGCCAAACCATTGAGGTTTACTCAGAAAATTACTCAAAAGTCTTATTCTCTTACCACTCTTTTACTGTTAGCCTTGAGACTTGCTTAGTTGTATTTAATTTTATAAATACAAATAACAGACATATGTTTGCTTGCATTTTCTGAGTCAGGGTCTTACTGCCTTGTTCTGCTGTCTCAGGATAGGCTGATTTATGGTCCTGCTGCTTCAGCCTTTGTGTATTGGAATTCTAGGCCTTTTCCATCATACCCAGCTTGTTTTTACTCTTTCCTCATTCTTTCACAAAGTATAGCATATACTATATGTACTATAAGTGATACAGTACTTGGTATGTCCCTTTCACCTCACCTTCATAGAAATGTTTCTTATTCTCTTTATGGTTATATGTATGTAGACTATGTAGGCTTCCAGCAATATCCTACATGTGGACATTCAGTTTGTTTCTAGTGTTTTCACTTTTGTAGATATGGTTACAACTAATAACGTTGTGTGTTTGCGTCCAATTACTAGGCATTTACCATTGGAATAATTTCCTAGAACTTATGCTTAGTGTGTCTAAAACTACATAATTTTCCCAAAATTCTTTTATTATTATTATTTGTTATCCTTATTATCATTATTATTATTGAAGTTTAGGCTGGTCTCAAACTTATTAATAACCATAACTGGCCCTGAACTCCTGATCTCCCTGCCTCTGTCTCTCTCAAGTGCTGAAATGATAGGAATGTGCTTTCAAACCCATCTTTCCTTATTTCTTAAAACGAAGACTACAAGCACCAATGACAGACCTTTAACCTTTCTTCTTTTTTCTTTATCTTCATCGTCTTAGTTACAAGCCACTTTCCTTAGTTTCTTGTTCTGGCCACCTGCTTTGTGTCATTTCTTCCCTAAACACCACGCTTGCACTAAAAGCTGAGGGTTATTCATTCCACTCCTCTCGGCATTTTTCCTTTGCCTCTAAAATGTCAACACCTTGGCCTAGATGCACAGCCTTCCATTTCCTGACCCCTGGTCTCCTCCTCCAGCTGAATCTCTCAGCTCTTGTTAGATACTGACCTTGGGTTCCCTGGACATATCCTGTTCTGCCATGCCTCTCTTCCACTGGAATGCTTTTTAACCGCCACGTCTCATCTTAACTTTACAGTTTTGCTATCATCATCTCCTGGAAGACTTCTTGCCAGATTGAGTGCAGCTCCCCTGCTTACCCATACTGTTCTGTGCTTGCCTCCATTGGTATCTTTTCTCCTGATGCTCTGGCTCCAAGGAATCTTGATTCCTTATGTTAGTCCTGTTCTCTTGGCCTAAAGATGGGAGCACACTAAGCCCTGAACTGCAAGTAAATATGTGCATAAACTTGATCTGTTTACAGATTCCTAAAAAAATGCATCTAGGTTTTCCTTTACATGTTTAATACAAAACTCTAACAAGTTTAGATATTTATAAGCAGACAGTAGCTTCCATTACCTCCATCTCAGTTTCTAGTAGGAACTATTCTGTATTGGCCAGAAAAACATAAAACAGATTTTTTTTCCCAATGATCATAGAATAAAAATGTTGGTTGTTTTGTTCTTATAGATCATCTCTTTTCCTTTAGGCAATGATAGTAAGAAATGCTAAAGATACAGCTCATACAAAAGCAGAGCGGAATATTCTGGAGGAAGTAAAGCATCCCTTCATTGTGGATTTAATTTATGCCTTTCAGACCGGTGGAAAACTCTACCTCATCCTTGAGTATCTCAGTGGTTAGTACATAGTTCGTGTAATTATTTACCTTTGCTCCAGAAACTGGGTTCAAACATTACTTTCCAGTGAAAAATGCTTTTTCTCATTGTGAACAAGTCTTAAATTGATGGCGACATTGAAGAAGGAAGCTCACATGTGAACAAATGGTTCTATTACAGACAAACAGGAAAGAAACGTGGAGGGTGTTTTCCTGTCGGGAAAATTCGATTTAAATCTCTTTGTAATCAATGATAACATATTTATAAGCTGGGGTAGCTACTGTAATTCACATATTCCATTAAATATTCCTTTCTAAATAGAAATGGAGATGCTCACTGAGAGTATTATGAGATACTGAATGTTTTTGAGCCACATTTTCAAGGGCCTGCTCCCTACTGGGAACTTACCAACCCCCATGTCTTTTTTTTTTTTTTTTTTTTTTTTTTGAGACACGATCTCACTGCAGACCACGCTGACTGGAGCTTACTGTGTGGCTCATGCTGCCCTTGAGCTCCCGCTTCAGCTTCCTACCCACAGCATCTCTCAATCACAGAGATGCTCGCGTCCACAGCAAACACACCTGGCGGTTTCTCTTCTTTTTTAGACAGGATCTCTATACAGCTCTGGCTGTCCTGGAACTCTCTACATAGACCAGGCTGGCTTCAAACTCAGAGATGGGCCTGTGTGCTGACTTAAAGGCTTGTGCCACAAGGCTTGGCATACCTGTGATTTCTAAGAAACAGGTTTTGTCACAGCTCTTCACATGGACCTGAAAGCTGCAGATTTTCACACCTTTTTTCTTTCTTTTTTTGTTTTGTTTTGTTTTTTTGTGTTTTTGATTTCTTGTTTTTCGAGACAGGGTTTCTCTGTGTAACTTTTTGGACCCTGTCCTGGAACTCACTTTGTAGACCAGGCTGGCCTTGAACTCAGAGATCCACCTGCCTCTGCCTCCCGTGTCCTGAGATCAAAGGTGTGCGCCACCCCACCTGGCTACCTTTTTTCTTAATGCTACTTACTTGTGACTTTATTTTCTAATTTGAACTTTATATGGAAGATTGTGTGAATAGTCCAAGGATTCTGTGAAGTTTCTGCAGCCCTCACATCTCCACATTCTGTCCTCTCATTGCATTTGCCTATCTTCCGCTTTATACATAGGCATGTGTGTACGTACAGATGCATGCATGTACAGTCAACATTTTTTGTGCTATTCAAAGATTTTTACAACTAAAACGCTAGCATTTACTTCATAACTCAAGAACATTTTCTTATGTAACTAGAATTATAAGATAATTAGGAAATTAACATTAATATAATAATGTCTTTTGGTTTTCTTTTATTTGGAACAGTTCCTTAGTCTGTCTTTGTCATTATGTTGACATAAAGAGTATAGCCCAGTTTCTGTAGAATGCCATTGATTTGGGTTTATCTGGTATTTCTTTGGGAGTAGACTCAGGTGATGCACTTTTAACAGGACATTGTGTTCCTTCTCGGCAGTTCCGAACAGGAGGTGCATGGTAGTTAGATCTTTGTCCCTCTGCTGTCGATGTTCATTGTGCTCACATATGTAGGTGGTGTTGCCAGGTTTCCCTTTGGGTTAATAAGTGTCTCTTGACGAGATAATTTGGGATTACTTCAGTATCTCATCTCATCAGGCTTCAGGTCCAGTTTGGCATCCATTGATTCTTGACTGTAACAATTAACTGTGGTGTTTGCCAAGTGGTTTTCTTACTCCATCATGCCACCTTCACTTATACAGAACTTTCCTTTCTCCATTGAGAACTTTATCTGTTCATTTATTTACATCATTATGGGTTCCTGGAGTTTAAGATAACTCAGGACAGTATAACCCTTTATTATTATTTACTTTGATACTTAAATTATGCCACCATCAGGTTCATTCAGTTTATATGAAGGTTCTGAAAATAGGGAATAGTCACATTCACAAAAATTTGAGTGACTTAATTGTGTACTGACATTTTTTTTTTTTACATATTGAAAAGGTGCTTGAGAGACTTTAATGAAGACTTTTTAAAACTTTAGGCCTGAAATCTCTATATATTTTGCAGTTTGCAGGTGTAAATGCTATTAATTCTAAGCCAGTTTTAGGATTTAAAAGAAATTTTTTTAAGGACTCAATCTTATAGATAGAAGAAAGTGCAAACTCATTAGAAGCGGATTGGAAGTAAAGAAATTTATTCCTAATACTTTTCCTTTCTAGGAGGAGAACTGTTTATGCAGTTAGAAAGAGAGGGGATATTCATGGAAGACACAGCTTGGTAAGTGAAGTTCTGTGGTTGTATGGATTCAGGTCATGCTTCATGTAATTAAAACCCAAACACACGCCCACTGTGGGAACCACACTGTTCAGTCAGTTGATCTGGAGCCAGTCAGTCTCTCAGAATGTCAAGGGGAACTTTGGGACTGGGCAGCTATTGGAGGTCACATGATTCCTTTGCCCCCAGGCCTTGGGTGGACCGCTCTTCACTGCAGAATTTCCTTGAATTGGTAAGCTGCCTGTCTTGGTTGTGGGTGAGTGTGGTTTTCCAGTGAAATTTTGTATGTGCAGCAATGGAAAGTATCAGAAATCATCTCCTCTTTTTTTTAGACTTTCCAGTTCCCAAGGTGCAGTCTTAGGGAGGTGATAACCCTGAACACACATCTGTGGATTGATTATATAGCCAGGATGGGATCTGCCCTCCTATTCGTAAGATGGCATCTGCTTCAAATTAAAAATATACACATCCTTTTGTGAAGTGACCATATTGAAGGGTAACAGTAAATCAGTTTGACCTACACATTAATTGAATAGAAAACACTTAAATGTTTTTTCTATCTTAATTACCAAACTGCATTCCATTGTTTAATTTCAGGCCTTTTCTAACACAGAAGCTGCATTTAAGAGCCTTAGGGATGAAGTGCCCTTTTTTGGAGGAGGCTCTCTGAGCCCTGTTGGAGGCTGTGGTCCTGCTGGCTTGAAACTGCCTCAGTCCTCTAGGACACACCCTCTCCATCCTGGAGTAATCTGCAGGATTGCAACATTGTTACACAGCCAGTATTGCAGTGCTTTGTGCTTTTCGAATCCAGACAGGGTTGATTCAGCCCTTTATTCTTTTGAGGTAGATAAATTTGAGTGTCACACAGTTTATAGTTGTGGGCTGGCTGGCAAGAGGGTGGGCAGATACTGTGGGTATTGCTGTCTATAAATACACAACTCTATTATGTAAGGGATGAGTGGGCTTCCACAGGTCAGGCTATAAGATCAAGTCTTGATCTCTGAGAATAACAAAGTCCATACTTCCTGTGGAATCTTAAAGTTGGGGGAGGTGGGTGGGAGGAATTTGTTTATCTGAAGGACTGTTGGCCTAATTCCTACACAGAGAGAGCAGAACCTAATCAATAATAGTTAAAATACACTGGATGTCTTTGCAATTTTAGCAGTATATTTATAATGGAAAAATAAAACATGGTATAGTTTGACTAAAACAAGTAACAAATGTCCCCCTGCATTGTGGCATCATCCTGTGCCCTCTCTTTTCCCAGTACATTCTTCCACCCCCACTAATTTGGTCTTTGGTGCATGTCTGTTTCTTTCAAGGAATTTTATTCCATACATAAACTGCTTTGGGTAGATTGCTTTTTAAATTTTTATTAAATCACTTCTGTTTCCAGCTTTTACTTGGCTGAAATTTCCATGGCTTTGGGGCATTTACATCAAAAGGGGATCATCTACAGAGACCTGAAGCCGGAGAACATCATGCTTAATCACCAAGGTGGAGCTATATCATGAACAATTCTGTAGTAACTAGTCCGCTTACAATCCTTCCACACAGATCATGGCCATTTTCAAGGCTCCCATGTTTCTCTCTCTTGTTGCATATTTCCCCCCTCAGGATATATCATATCGTAATACTTGCTGGTACTTTTAGTATTTATAACTGAGCTTAAACAGAGTTAAAGAGATTAGCCATTCTTTACAACTTAGAAAAAAATTCTTATATAAAATGTTGTGACACCCCCCCCAAAGCTAATTCAGATGTTAATTTTGATTTATGCCATTGATTTTTTAATGACAAAAATGCGGAAGTAGTAGAAGCAAAACTTGTTTGTTTAGACATAGTCTTGCTGTATAGCTGGCTGGCACCGAACTTAGTTAGGGTCTTACTGCCTCAATGTCCCAAGTGTTGGGATTACATATATAGAACACCAACATGGACTGGAGAGATGGCTCAGAAGTTAAGAGCACTGGCTGTTCTTCCAGAGGACCTGAGTTCAATTCCCAGCACCCACATGGTGTCTCACAACCATCTACAATGAGATCTGGTGCCCTCTTCTGGCATGCAGGCATTCATGCAAACAGAACACTATACATAATAAATAAATAAATCTTAAAAAAAAAAAAAAAAGAACACCAACATGCAGCTAAAAACAAAACTTTTTATAATTTTAACTAATGTTTGAGGAAGAAAAAGACTGAAATTGAACCGTATTATTTGATACAGCCCCAATAACAAAATACTTAATAGGCATAGGTTATACAGAGAGACTAATTCTATACAGCTGTGGGTATAGCAAAGGGAGTGTTGGCTGCACCTGCATGCGCCTGCAGCTCCATTTCTGCTGCTGCAGTCTGAACTGCGAAGACTGCACTTTACAGAAGCAGCAAATGAGGAGACCAAGGCATCTTCAAGGCTGTTAGCGGCTGCTGATCCGCAGGTCTCCATAGGGTGGTTCATGAGATAGTTAACCAGTGCAAACTCCTAGACAGAAGCATCTAAGAAATACACAAATTTATATAAGTCAGGTCTTTATAAATGTTCCAGCTAGGGCTGGAGAGATGGCTCAGAGGTTAAGATGGCGGCTCACAACCATCTAAGATCTGGCACCCTCTTCTGTATACATAATAAAGAAATAAATCTTTAAAAAAAAAAATGTTCCAAATAGTGCTTTTTAACAATTTGTTCGTAAGGGGCTGGAGAGAGAACTGGCTCAGTGGTTAAGAGCATTTGCTGTTCTTGCAAAGGACCTGGGTTTAGTTCCCATGGTGGCTTATAATGTCTGTCCAGGAAATCTGGAACTGGTTTTTGCTGGCACCAGGCTCACATGTAGTGTTCATATATACATTAGGCAAAATACTCATACATATGAAATTAAAGAAAAAACAAAACTTGTTTGTTCTTAATGGAAAAATGATAGAATTGACAAAGTATATTGTGGGAACCATGTCTTATTCCTATCTTCCTATCCCAAACCTGGATTCTGATTCTGAATTCTTTGTTGTTGATTTTGAAGTATTCTTTTAAAATTATTTTTCTGTTCTGGGAACTGAACCCTTTGTGTATGCTCCCACCAAGCTATGGCCCCAACCCTTCTGATTCTCAATTCTAAGGCAAAGGATAGAATAAAGGAATGGTGGAATAGTAAAATAACTTTAAAAAAAAAAAAGATTTATTTATTTATTAAGTATGCATTGTTCTGCCTACAGGGTAGAAGAGGGCACCAGATCTCATTACAGATGGTTGTGAGCCACCTTGTGGTCTCTGGGAATTGAGCTCAGGACCTCTGGAAGAGCAGCCAGTGCTCTTAACCTCTGAGCCATCTCTCTAGCCTCTAAACTAACTTTTTTAATCCATAAACTTGGATATACCATTTGATTGTGTGAGAATAAAGGCTATGGCCAGGTGCAGAAGAAAGACCTGGGTTCCCAGCACCACATACTGGCTCCCAACAATTGGGAACTAGTTTCAAGGTTCCTGAGCCCTCTTACGGCTTACTTAGGACCAGGCAGACATACTGCACTTGCATATATGTGGGCAAAATTACTCATATGCATAAAATCTTAAACATGAGAAAATAAAAGATAAATGTAGCTCTGTTTTTTCTTTTGTAGCAGAATGTAGATGTTCACAGTTGAATAAATGAGCCATTGCCTTTTGTCTGAAGGGAAGCTTGGAGAATAGGGCCATTGGTGTTGTTGAACCACTGGCTAATTAAATGACAGCTGAGAGGAACTTATCTGAAGTGATCTTTGTGTAAGGTGGAATTCCACCTTCTGGAACAGAAATAATTATCTGATGCAAATTTTAGTTCTTTTCCTTCACTGGCAGTAAATAATTGAATTTGTTCTGCTAACTGATAGCATTTGGCATAGTAAGCGATAGAATGACTTTCTGAGACTGAAGAGTTTATAAGGACTCTTAAGTATACTGTGAAGAAACAGTACAGTTGAAGTATGCCGTGATTTTTGTTTAAATACAGAATGCTTATTAGGGGTATAATATTACTTAAGCCAGACTTTCAAAGAAGCTTTCTTGGGATGGAACAGAATTCTGCATATAGGGAAAGCCAGAGCTTTAGACAGACAGCTTCATTATTTTCTGTATTTTCTCCTTTCTGCATTGCTTATATCATGGGCACTGCCCAGTCTTTAAGTAGTTACTACTCCATAGTAGATAAGGCACCTAGTTCTGGACATCTTCAAGAAAAGTTTTAGAAAGGAAAAGATAAATGGAAGGAGGAATTATCTGTTTGCTGTGTTCAAATACTGTATGTACTTGAGAGTCTCAGAATAATCATGCTATGATCTTTCATTGTAGGTCATGTGAAACTAACAGACTTTGGACTATGCAAAGAGTCTATCCATGATGGAACAGTCACACACACATTTTGTGGAACAATAGAATACATGTGAGAGCTGCATGTTAAAAGAAATATAACTGGTTTGGGGGTAATATCTAACTTTTACCTGGTTTAAAATAGTATCTTAGTTTTTTTCGTTTAATTATTTTATTCAGATGATAGAAAAGTGGGTAAATTTTAAGACATGTTACTTTTCTCATTTAAGGGCCCCTGAAATCTTGATGAGAAGTGGCCACAATCGTGCTGTGGATTGGTGGAGTTTGGGAGCATTAATGTATGACATGCTGACTGGAGCAGTAGGTGCACATTAAAAGCTGCATGTTTATAGTCTGTGCTGAAGCGTTACTAAGACATTCTAGTGAGAGAGCTTGGCTCTGCTTTCACAACATGTTCCTAGTCGAGTTACTTTCAAAGCCTCAAGATTTGTTAGCAGTAATTTTTTTGTTTTGTTTTGTTTCGAGACAGGGTTTCTCTGTGTAGCCCTGGCTGTTCTGGATCTCCCTCCATAGACCAGGCTGGCCTCGAATTCACAGAGATCCTCCTGCCTCTGCCTCTGCCTCTGCCTCCCGAGTGCTAGGATTAAAAGTGTGTGCCACCGCCGCCACCAGACTCTTATCAGTGGTTTAGCATTAATGGTAGCTTATGATTTTGTGGAATTCATACTTTTTTCCTAAAGACTTATTTTTATTTTATGTACATTGGTGTTTTGCCTGCATGTTTGTCTATGTGAAGGTGCCAGATCCCTTGGAACTGGGGTTACAGACATCCGTGAACCATATATGGGTTTGGAAATTGAATCTGGGTCCTCTGGAAGAGCAGCCAGTGCTCTTAACTGCTGAGCCATCTCTCCAGCCCTGGGATTCCGTACTTTTAAAAAATATTTTTATTTGAATGACCTATGTAGGGGCGGGACAGATTGCTCAGTGGTTGAAGGGTAAAGTCTGCCTTAGTTCAGTTCCCAGTATCACATCAGGTACCTCACTATATCTAGTTCCACGGGATCTGATGCCTCTGGTATTCACGGGCACCCACACACATGCACAAACCCACATACACCACGTGTACACATAATTAAAAAAATTTTTTTTAAATTGACTGGCTTATGTCATGGCAATCTAATGAAATACAGAGGGACAAATGGGAACATAAAATGAGACACCTCACTGACTACACAGACTTCCTGGGCATTGCTACTTATGTATCATTGCTTAAAGCCACAAGTCTCTGAGTTAACTGTTTCTGAACATTTTTTCTTTTTCTTTTCTTTTTTTTTTTTTTTTTTCCCCTGAAACACAGTTTCTCTGTGTAACAGCCCTGGCTGTCCTGAAGCTCTTTCTGTAGATCAGGCTGGCCTCAAACTCATGCAAATCAGCATTCTGCCTGCAAAGTGCTGGAATTAAAGGCATGCGCCACCACTCCTGGCTCTGAACCAGTTTTCTTATCTCAGTGTGTAACTGTCCAATTCAGGAACCAGATAATATTGTTACTTAAGATTGGTTTTTTACATGCTAATTTATCTGCTCTTTTCTACCCTTAGCCTCCATTCACTGGAGAGAATAGAAAGAAAACAATTGACAAAATCCTCAAATGTAAACTTAATTTGCCTCCCTACCTCACACAAGAAGCTCGAGATCTGCTTAAAAAGGTAGGCATCCTAAATGGCAGCCCCTCAGCAAGGCTTAAATTGAATTTGGTACACACACGCGCGCGTGCGCCTACTGTTTGTTTGGGGGTTTTTTGTTTTGTTTTTTGAGACTCACTATGTAGACCAGGCTGGACTCAAACTCATAGAGATCTGCCTGTTTCTGTCTCCTGAATCCTAGGATTAAAAGTGTACACCCGGCTCATAAGTAATACTTTTTTATTTATTCTTTGATAATTTTATGTGTGTATAGTTTCACCTCCATCCATCTTTTTCAACTTCCTCTAATGCCCCCAACACTGACCCTCCCAATTTCAGGCTTTCCTTCTTTTTTTTTTTTTTTGGTTTTTTCGAGACAGGGTTTCTCTGTGTAGCTTTGCGCCTTTCCTGGAACTCACTCTGTAGACCAGGCTGGCCTCGAACTCACAGAGATCCACCTGTCTCTGCCTCCCGAGTGCTGGGATTAAAGGCGTGCGCCACCACTGCCCGGCTTCCTTTTTTTTAATAACCTATGCAGTCCAGTTAGTATTGCCTATATAACTATGGGTATGGAGTCATCTACTTGAGCATGGGCAATACAGCAGTGGCCAGACCCCCAAAGACAAATGATTGTTCTTCCCCCAGCAGCTATCAGCTGCCAATAGATCCTTCATGAAAGGTGGGGCCTCATAAGGCCCTCCCTTATCTAATACTTTAATGTTTATTTTGATTAGAGCAATACATAAATACTAAACAGAAAAGACTTGCAAGTTTTTTAAAGCAAAGTACATGTTTAAAAGATGTTCTTTTGTTCTCAAACATTATTTAGTATTAATAAATTGTATCTTCTTGAGCACAAATAGGAAGCACATTCTATAAAGGGAAAAAAAAATCAATTTGAGTAATTCAGGATTTTCATCAGTGCTTCTTTTCTTCCCTAAAGCTGCTGAAAAGAAACGCTGCTTCTCGTCTTGGAGCTGGTCCTGGGGATGCTGGAGAAGTCCAAGTAGGAATTGAGATGTTTGGTGTTTGGGAGAAACATAATGCTAATTTTGCTAATTTGTGATGGTTATATGTGTGTATCCATATATGTTTAGCTTATATTGTGATTTGTAACTTCAAAAAAGTGGTCTGTCATTTCAGTCATTCCCCCTTGACTTTTTCTAGGCTCATCCATTTTTCAGACACATTAACTGGGAAGAACTTCTAGCTCGGAAGGTGGAGCCTCCCTTTAAGCCTCTATTGGTATGTATATACGGAAGCATGTAATTAGGGGAGATCGAGAACCCTTGTTTTCCAGTACTAGGGGTTGAACCTAAAACCTCCCACTCTACACTGACACCTCAGTGCTGGTGACTTTTTAAAATAAGAAAAATCTCAGAGAGACCAGGTATAGTGGTGTTCTCCTGTATGATAGTGTCCTTATTAATGACATCTGCACCAACCCTTTCCAAATAAGATGAGTTTCCGAGGAACCAGGTGTTTGAATGTCAACATGAACGGAAGGGCGAGGGAACATCATTCAGTCTATAAAAATGCTTTAGCTGTAGCTAAATAACTTAGTGTTTACTTAGCTTCTGTCTTCTGCTTCAGAACCTGAGAAAATATACTTTCTCCATTTCTTGGGATGTAGGTGGAGGAAGAGGATAATGAGGCTGATTATTATTTGGTCACAGAGCATAAGATGACCTGCTTTAAAATGTCAACATACACAGGGCTGGAGAGATGGCCTCATTGCTTAAGAGGACCCAAGTTTTAGCCCTTGCACCCATAGGATAACTCACGATCATTCTTAACTCCACTTCCAGGGGATCCATCACCTTCCAACCTCCAAGGGCACAAGGACATGTACATAGTACACAGCCATACATGAACAGAAAATACTCACAAATAAAATAAACCTTAAAATGTCTGTATATACAATTATAAGGAGGATAATTAACTCAGATACATACTGCCCAACTTCAGAAATGACCAGGTCATCTTGTATTTAAAAAAATAAAATAAACAATAAGCCATCATTATACCTAAAGGTTGACTATTTCACTGTTTGTTTTGATTTTCCTTTTCCCCTGTGTTTTTCAGTAAGAATTCATAGTCTGTACATTGTTAGGTGTTCTCTTATTATAGACAGATATCCCTTCTCATCTCTTCTGGAGATTTATTGAAGAAACTGAGCCATCTGTCCTGTAGAATTCTTCAGATTAAAAAAAAATGTGTTTGTTTTAATTTTTATTTTGTATATATGAGTATTTTGGTGCATACATGTGATATGCAGTAGAAATGGGTGTATCCCTGATGCTTGTGAAGGTCAGAAGAGGGAATTGGATCCCCTGGAATTGGAGTTAGGGATGGTTGTGAGCCACCATGTAGATGATGGGAATCTAACCCAGGTGTTTTGGAAGAGTAGCCAGTGTTCTTAATGGCCGACCCATTTTTCCACCCCCAAATTCCTTACATTTTAATTTTGCTAATTTTATGCCCATAGTGTCATTTCCTATGTTCATCTGTTTCCAAAAACTGGGTGTTTAAGGAACTTATTTGATACAGATGGAACTCTATCCCGTCCCCCCGTCCCCCCAGAGCTGAGGACCAAACTCAGAGCCTTGAGCTAGCTAAGCAAGCGCTCTACCACTGAGCTAAATCCCCAAACCCCAGATGGAACTCTTGATGTTATATGCTTTGACAAGGAGGCCTAACTTATAGTTTTATTTCTCTTAGGCTGTTAGTAGTCACTGATGAATGCCTGTGAGTCAATAGTTCTTAACCTGGGACCAAAGTCTAGAAACATTTTGATTGTGTCGCAGGAGGGCCCTGCTCCTAGTTCCTACAGCACACATGCAGCTCTCTACAATACACAGTTACCAGAAACATGAGAGGTGGCTCTTCAGTTAAAATGAGTACTGGCTGCTCCTTCAGAGGACCGAGGTTCTACTCACAGCACTAATATGGTGGCTCACAGCTGTCTGTAACTCAAGTTCTAGGGGATCCTACACCCTCTTCTGTCCTCTGCAGGCACCAGGCATGCATGTGATGCACAGGCATACATGCAAGCAAACACATAGAAACATAAAATAAAAAGTTAAATCAAGTCCCAAATGTAAGTAGTACTGAGGTGAGAAACCCCAGTCCAGTTCTCTGTTCTCATTCAGAGTTTACACAATGGCCTCATTCTCTTGAGTCAAGGTCTCTCTCTGTGTAACAGCCCTAGTTGTCCTGGAACTCACTGTATAGACCAAGCTGGCCTCGAACTCACAGAGATCCATCCGCCTGCCTCTGCCTCCCGAGTGCTGGGATTAAAGGCATGTGTCACTATTGCCCGGCTCTCTTACTCATTCTTTATTGCCACAATTTTTTCATAAAACAAACTTACCAATTGTTTGGTTACCCTAGTTGATACCAGGAAGACGGGCTAAATGTTTGACTATTATTCTTCAAAATAATGAAATAGTTTCTTAGTATCTTCCAAATTAAACAGTGAATTATAACTTTTTTAGTGCCATGAACTCAGGGTGTTTTTTGTTTTGTTTTGTTTTGTTTTATGGTTTTTGAGACAGGGTTTCTCTGTATAGGTTTGCGCCTTTCCTGGAATTCACTCTGTAGCCCAGGCTGGCCTTGAATTCATAGAGATCCGCTTGGCTCTGCTTGGCTCTAAAAATTTACTGACTGGACTAGATACACTAAAGAGTTATGAGGGGAAAATTGATAGTCAAAATTTTAATCAGGATAGTTTTATATTCAATCTATTTAATTCATATATAAAATTTGAAGATGTAGGCTTTGGCCACCGGTATAATATTTGCCTAGCAAGTATAAAGCCCTAGGTTTGAACTCAGGCACCAAACACATACAAAAAAAATGATGTTGTGGGGCTGGAGAGATTCCCAGCTTCCACATGGTGGCTTACAACCATCTGTAACTGCAGTTCTAGGGGATCCAACACCTTCTTCTGGCCTCTGTGGGTACCGGGCTCACATGTGATGTGCAGATATACATACAGTCAAAACAACCTGCATATTATAAACAAAAATAAAAAATGATTGACACTCTTTCTACCTACAGTTTGTGACCTTGTCTGTGGCTGCTAAGATTATTCTGTGCAGAGTATAGGGCTTGTGGCACCTTTGATTGATAGCAGTAATACAGACTGTTTACCATTTTCTAAAAACTTTGTTCTTATAAAGCAATCTGAAGAGGATGTGAGTCAGTTTGATTCAAAGTTTACACGTCAGACACCCGTTGACAGCCCGGATGACTCAACTCTCAGTGAAAGTGCCAACCAGGTCTTTCTGGTAAGTGCAACGTTTCCAAGCAGCCATAGGAAATTTAAGTATGGAGGATGATCAATGAGAAGTTCGTGTTGGAAACCTGGGTGACTTTGCTTTTAAGCCATTTCCTTGGTAACTTACTGGTCCCTACAAAATGACTTTCATAATCTAACATTCCACTTTAGATATTACAGAAAGAATATTTGATTCTATGGAGTGATTCATGTTTGGTTGCGTGCTAGTGATTTGAAATGATTTTTGGCTAATCAGAGTAGAACTCTTTCATTCCCAAAACACTTACCATAAATTACAGATATTGCCGGGTGGTGGTGGCGCATACCTTTAAGCCCAGCACTCCTGAGGCATAGGCAGGCGGGTCTCTGAGTTTAAGACCAGCCTGGTCTACAGACTGAGTTTCAAGTCAGATGACTACACAGAGATACCCTGTTTCAAAAAAAAAGAACAAAAAAAATTATGGTTACTAAAACCCTGACTCTGCAAGGGATTTGTAATTTTAATTATTAATATTTGATAGCAAAACATTGATTCATTTTTGATAATAAATATTAGTTTTCATTGAAGAGGTGTCTGTGTGCTTTATCTCTAGTCTGCAGTCTCGTTAGACATTAAAGTTGTGATGGGCGTGGCTCACCTGAGAGCACACACTTACCAGCCCAAAATAACTAAATGAACCCATTAGGACTCCATTTACCTGTATAGTTATTTCAGTTCTAACAACCTCAAGTTGATGGATATTTAATGTATGATGAGATCTCATTAAAAGTAATGGAAATTTGATTGGGCAGTGGTGATACACACTTTTGATCCCAGTACTTGGGAGGCAGAGCCAGGCGGATCTCTGTGAGTTCGAGGCCAGCCTGGGCCACAGAGCGAGATCCAGGACAGTATCGAAAGAAGAAAAAAAAAATTGAAATTTAAAAATTGAATAAGATGCAACTTTGTCTTTAGCCCACCAGAATCTACAGAGGAATGGCCTCTGAAATTGCAAGTATACAGTGCAGAACTACACCTTCCTCTTGGGGCTCCGCCCGGAGACTGCCCAGCCTTGTTTACTGTAATAAATACATAATGCTCACTCAGCTAAGAAGGAGCAGGAAAGCAGGTAGGCAGTAGGACCCGTGGCTGAACAAAGGAACATGCAGCAGCAAAATGAGAGACCGGAACTTAACAGCAAGGTTCAACCTGATCTGAAACTAATACAGCAGCATCTGTGCCCTGTACAAGAAGACTGTCATAATGTTGGCACTGGTCACCAAAAAAAAAAAAAAAAAAAATCTTCTATGGCTCAGTGATTAATAGTGTGTCACACTCTTTCAGAGGACCAGGAGTTTAGCTCCCAGCATCTGTGTTAGGTGGCTCACAACTGCATGTAATGACGTCTCAAAGGATCTGATACCTCATGTCCTCAGGCATCTGTACTCACATGTACATACCTACACACAGACATACATGCATATACAGAATTTTTAAAATTCTATACAATTACTAATGAGAAAGTGGAAAAGTCACACAAGCTAAGTAAGAGAACTCTAATTTTACCTTGGCTTAGTTATGAGGAACTGTTTTGGAAGTATTAATCCTAGCACATTTTATAAATATGGGTATGTGTATCTGTATATATATGTGTGTGTGTGTGTGTGTGTGTGTGTGTATAATATTTATATTATATGTATATAAACAATGTGTGGCTGACAGTGTACCAATTTATGTTTATCTTTATAGTCAACATTTTAATGTGCAAGCTACATTTTTCCTGTTGGGTTTTTTTCCCCCTTCTGCTAACGATTGGGTAAAATTTTGTTAGCTAGCATATGAGGCTTTAAAAAGTATAAAAATGTTGGCTGTAGTGGTGCACACCTTTAATCCCAGCACTCAAGAGGCAGAGAGAGGCAGGTGGATCTCTGTGCATTTGAGGCCAGCCTGGTCTGCAGAATGAGTTCCAGGTCATCCAGTGGTACACAGACCCTGTTTTACAAAACTCAGAAGGTATAAAAGTGAGATCATCAATTTGGAAGAATATCCACATTGTTGATTTTAGTTATACATCATTGTGAAAGCCATTTTCTTGATGTGTATGACAGACTGTCACCCCGAAGTACACTGTTGCTGTTTTTCAGGGTTTTACATATGTGGCTCCATCTGTACTTGAAAGTGTGAAAGAAAAGTTTTCCTTTGAACCAAAAATCCGATCACCTCGAAGATTTATTGGTAGCCCACGAACGCCTGTCAGGTATTTCACTCCCTACTCTCTTCTCGTGTTTATGTATGCGTGTTCATGTGTACGCAGGTGCATACGGAAGACAGCCTTGGGTGGTGCTCCTCAGGCAGTCTCCACCTCTCACTGGCCTGGGACTTGTCCAGTGTGTTAGTTAGGCAGACTGGCCAGGGAGGGCCAGGAAACCTATTTGTCTCCTCCAGTGCTGGCATTACAGCCATGCACCACAATACCCACTTTTTCTTACATAGGTTCTGAGAATTACATTGAGGGCCTTGTGCTTGCAAGGAAAACATTTTTTGAAGCCTAGAAGAATATAGCTTAAGAAATGCGCCGGGAGGTGGTGGCGCACGCCTTTAATCCCAGCACTCAGGATGCAGAGCCAGACGGATCTCTGTGAGTTCGAGGCCAGCCTGGTCTATAGAGCAAGATCCAGGACAGGCACCAAAGCTACACAGAGAAACCCTGACTGGGGGGGGGGGGGGGGGAAGAAATGCATATAAGTTACATAAATAAAAAGTATGGGGTTGGGGATTTAGCTCAATGGTAGAGCGCTTGCCTAGCAAGTGCAAGGCTCTGGGTTCGGTCCTCAGCTCAAAAAAAAAAAAGTCTGTCATATTTTGCCTAATGTAAGCACATCTATATTTTATATTTAAAGGATATACATCATATAGTTTACCCATAATAAATGTCCTCTTTAGCATTTACCAACATTTCATATGTGCTGCATGTGAATATATATGTGTTATATATAATATAGAATTGTTCCTTTCTGATGAATCTAGCAGGGGTCATAATAAACCAAGATAGAAATATACACAAATGTATGTACCTACCAAGTTGTGCCAAGTGTACCTGCGCACATGTGTGCACATTTAACAACAACAACAAAAGGTAGTAGTAGAAAGCAAAGAAAAATGAGGAGCCTTCCATTAACTGTGGTCAGCATGGCCTCCCTGGTGAAGTAACTTCTAGGAGTAAGGAGAAAGCTAGCTATGCAAAGAAAAGAAGTTCCTCAAGTATTGCAGGGAGAAGAGCAGCCAGGACAAAAGCCCCTGGGGAAACATGCTTCTTCTTGGAAATAAGAAGTCGGAGTTCCTAGAGTGTGGTGAGAGAGGAAGATGGCAGAGGTGTGGGGAAATACTTGATTTTCAGTGCACTGGGAAGTTGTTCTAAGTGGGAAAGTAAAAGGATTTAACAGTATGACATTAGCGGCTCTAGGGGTCAAGTGCAGAGGACATACTAGCTGTTAGTCTAGGGGGAAGATGCTCAACCTTTGCCTTTGTGACAGTCTACATGAAAATAAAGTCACATCACCCCTACCTTTAAACATGGGGGGAGTAGTTCCTGTTAAGATGATCCTTAAGACAAATGAGTGATAGCTCTTCTTTGTCTTAAAGCCCAGTCAAATTCTCTCCTGGGGATTTCTGGGGATGAGGTGCTTCAGCCAGCACGGCAAACTCTCAGACACCTGTGGAGTACCCGATGGAAACAAGTGGGATAGAGCAGATGGATGTGACAATGAGCGGGGAGGCATCAGTACCACTTCCAATCTGACAGCCCAACTCTGGGCCATACAAAAAACAAGCTTTTCCTATGATCTCCAAACGGCCAGAGCACCTGCATATGAATCTATGATGAAACAATGCTTTTATTGATGCAAAAAGAAAACAAAAATCGGGGGAGGGATGTGTGAACATCCTGCAAGATAAAATGAGAATCAAAATGGCAGACTTAAAAAGTCAGCACAGTAACCTAGATTGCTTTGGATGGAGGAAAAAATAAACATGGATTTTAAAAAATCAATCAATGGTGCAAAAAAAATAAACCCACAAAAAAACAAAAACAAAAAACTCAAGCAAAATAGTATTGTGGAACCCACAGACACATCGATTGGCTGGTTCCTGTCAAGCAACATCTCAGCATTAGCAAGGGTTTTCAAGTTGACGGCTCCACACCGACAGTATTAAGGGTAGGATGTTGCTTCCGAATCACCGTTGAAGCCTGGAGATGTCAAAGAAGGGTTATCCTTTCATAGGCAAGGTATGAGATTGCCTGTAATACTTGCAACTAAGGACAAATTAGCATGCAAGCTTTGTCAAACTTTTTCCAGCAACACGGAATCAAAGACAAAAGAAACTTATCGATTGATGTTTTACGTGCAAACAACCTGAATCTTTTTTTTATATAAATATATATTTTTCAAATAGATTTTTGATTCAGCTCATTATGGAAAACATCCCAAACTTTAAAATGCAAAATTATTGGTTGGTGTGAAGAAAGCCAGCTTCTGTTTCTTCTCTTGATGAAATAAAACGCAAATGAATCATTGTTAACCACAGCTGTGGCTCTTGTGAGGGCTTGGGGCGGACCTGGGGTGTTTTTCATCTTTTGTTTTAGTAACCTATCTGCAATACCTGTCTGTAATACTAGAAGAAGAAAGTCTGTTTAATCATTTCTACTTGCAGTACTGCTGTGTGCTAGGCTTCACTGCAAGCCTTGGGACAGGCAGAAGTTAGATGTTCTACATTGCATCCTTGTCCTGGGCCTGTACTACACTGGGAAAAGATGGCTACCTGTTGTTATCCCAGTGTTCGGGTCAAGCCCATGGCCAAGGAAGGAAAGAGTCAGGCTAAAGTTTGTAACTCGGGCAGTAAGCAAGGGGAGATAGAGACCTGCAGGGAAGAGGGGCCACCCTCGTCTGTCTCTTCTCAGCACATTGGCAAGGTTTTCAGTTTTACTTTGTACTGTTTTTGCTGTTTACCTTCCTTAACATTTTTCCCTCCAGAGTTTAAAAAAGAAAAAAATGGTGTTTTTTTCCCTCCTATAATGGGGCTACATTTTTAATTGTAAAAATATTTGATGGCCTTTTGATGAATGTCTTCCATAGTGAATAAGAAAACTTAGTGGCTTAATTTAGGAAACATGTTAACCAGACATTGTTTTTGAAATTGTAACAAAATCTACATAAGTGATTTACAGGTACAAAGAATAAAAAATAAAGGTAATTTTACCTTTCTTAAATATTTCCTGCCTTAAGGAGCATTTCCATGACTAGCTGGTGAGAGGGTTTCCTATCTGCAGAGCTTTATAAACTATACTTCAGTGCATACTGGTCCAGGTAGATGGTCACACTGCAGGTCTCGTCACTTCACTTGGTTGGTCTTTATGTCTCCAGTCTGTGCAGCTCATTTGGTATAGTTGCAGCCCTAGGGTTTCTTTACGCAGATGCTCTTGCTGTATTCTCCATAGGATCCAAGCCATAAATTCCTTATGCACATCAGAGTCAGTCAGGAGAGACTAAGACCTTGCTTCTTTAAATTGCAATTGAAGTGAGATGGGAGGAAATTTTAATAGTGAGCAAAAATAGAACCTTGAGGGGCTGGAGAGATGGCTCAACGGTTAAGAATACTGGCTCCTCTTCCAGAGGTTCCGAGTTCAATTCCCGGCACCCACATGGTGGCTCACAATTGTCAAATGGCAGTCTGATGGGATCAGATGCCCTCTTCTGGTATGCACAGCATTCGGACAACATACCCACATATATGAAATATATAAAAGTCCTTAAAAAAATGACAGTTGGAAATATGGCCTTTCGATTGTGGCAGTAAATGAAAGAATTGATAAAAGTCCATCTTTGGACAGAAGTTTTTTATCGTCTCAGTTCTCACTCCTGGATCTCTGACTGCTGCCTTTTGAGGACTTTGTAATTGCAGCAGTAGATAAAGAGCTGCGGTGATGATTAAGGGCAGACATTGTGAAGGTCTTCGTTATTTGACAGCTTGTGGTATCTTTAAACGACCCCCCCCCCCAATAACCTATGGTGATGCATACAGGAATTTTTTCAGACTGCAGAAGGCTGTGCTACTCTGATATCTGTCTCCAGTGTGTTTACTAACTATAGCATTGACTGCCTGGCCAAATTCCAGTAGAACTTTTACACCAAACAACTCCTCCTCAGCCCTAGTTGCTAGTAATATGTGCACTGTGACCACCCCGTAGTTAAACTTTCAGATTAGTGCTGCCAGCAATAGTGCAAATACTGCAACTTGTTTGCCTAGAAAGCATTAATTATATACCTTCCATCTACACAAATATATAGCTTTTCTATCACAACATTTATTAAGTGAAATTGATTTCTCACGCTGTGGCAAGTTTATTGAGAAATTGTTTCATAAATGGATATCCCTACTATGACTGTGAAAACATGTCAGGTGTCACGGGAGTGTCACAGACAGAAAGCACACGCCTATGCAATATGGCCTACTCTGTATTTATTTGTAAAAACTGAAGCATAATTTAAAGTATATGCCAATACTAGTTTGAGTTTCTAAGAGAGCATTCATGCTTATACCAGGTAAGTGTATAAAAAAGATGAAGTGCTTTTTCTTTTATTACTTGATTATTTTCTTTAGAATCAGCTATTACAGGATATTTTTTTATTTTCTACATGCTGTTTTTTAATTAAAATGTACTCACTGAACTGAAGTTTACTAAATTTGTTTTATAAGGTTTGTAATGTTACAGAATAACTAAACTGGTATTTATAAACCAGCTGTGATTAACAGTGTATTAATTACTGAACTTGAACCAGATCTTTAGGAAAACTATGTTTTTTCTTCCCCTTTTATGATCTTTACTTCAAGGATTTTTTTTTCCATACTGTTTTTGAACTAGAAGATAGTTTGAGATTTGGGGAAAGGAGGATGCGTATGCGAGACTCCATAAATTCAACATTCTGTACTATAGGTAACAACTATAAACAAAATATATCTTAGTATTAATATCTTGAGCCTTGGATATCATAATTAATATAGGATCTTTTTAAAACTGTTCAGTTAGTTGTATATTTCCTCGCTTACAAGGGCTAGATCAAAGATTATTCTCATGAGAAATGTTGAATTTATGAAGAATGGATTTTGAGGCTTTGAAAATGATTAGTATCTCAAAAGATTCAATATCCAAACATCTGCATGTATTGTAGGAACAGATACTAGCTTGCTGGACAAAACAGTCATGGCATTTGTCACACAGGACCTGTGGTCTGTTGCTGGTTAATATAGTACTTTCCTCATGGGACTCAACACTACAGCACAAGTATTTCCCTGGGTTCTCTGGAGAAGCATCTAAAGATGGGTTTCTGACAGTGTTGGCTCTTTAAACTGTGTTTGCTTCTACCCCAAGTTGGCTTTGCATCTATTAAATAAGTTCTTTAGCTGCCTTATTAGGAGTGCTCTGAGGGCAACACCTTTTCTGCTTTTCATCTTGTATTTAGTTTACTGTATTAAGAAAATTTGATTTCAGATTGAATGAATGTAAATAGAAATTAAATGAAAATTTGAATGAACATAAAGTAGAAGTGATTTTTTTATTACCTGAGAGGAAAAATTAGTATACATATTTACTATAGTATACATAACAGATGTACAATTTTTTTCATTAACATGTTAGATATGTTCATGTTCTCATATTTAATAAACTACTTTTGTATGAAACAATCAGTTATAAAATTTTCTCGTGAGAAATTAGAGCTATTTAAATATATAACAAATTTTAGTGTTGACTTTATGTAGTAAATGTTAAACATCTTTGTTATTTTGAGTATACTTGAATTGTTTGCTTTTAAAAATACTCATGCAACAAGCTATGTGGAATCTAGCTCCACATAAAAATCATGGGAATACTTTTTGTATATTAATGATCAACAGTTTGCTTAACTACACCTTATAGCTACCTTTGATAATGTAATATTCATGCACAAAATAATGTAGTTCTTAAATTTAGCAAATGTCATATCTAGTGTATGATAGCCACTTTGGGTGGTAACTTACCATCTCTGAGGCCGTTATATCACACTACGGTATACAGAAGTTCTCCAGCTGAAGCTATATTTAAAAAAGTTACTATACATAGGCTTGTGGGCTTGCACAGGCCACTGCATGCATCTGAAGGTCAGAGGACAATATGTAAGTCAGTTCTCTCCTTCCACCATGTGGGTCCCAGAGATTGAAATCAGTTCATTGGGTTTGGCGGAAAGCAACCTTGCCAGCCCAGAAGTTAACCAGTTTTTAAAATATGGTAGTATCTCTCTCTGTTTGGTCCTGGGGTAAATGAGACCTCTAATGCTGGGGTGGAGAGGTGGCGCCACAGTTAGAAAGCACTTGTGTGCCTTCCATAGGTCAGGGGTTGGTTTCTAGTACCCACGTAGTAGCTGTTAATCACAACCATCACAGATCTGAAAAGCTAAAAAGCTCTTGCTGGGTGTGGTGGCACATACCTTTGGTCCCAGTGTTTTGGGAGGCAGAGGCAAGCAGATCTGAGTTTGAGGCCAACCTGGTCTACAGAGGGAATTCCAGGACAGCCAGAGCTACACAAAGAACCCCTCCAAAAAACAAACAAACAAAAAAAAAAACTCTAGCACAGAGCTATAGTCTCAATCCATGGTGGCATCTCTCTATCTCTTTTTTGTACATTTATTTTTTATGTGTATGGGTATTTTGCTTGTGTGTGTCTGCATCATGTGTACAGTGTCCAGATAGGCCAGAAGAGGGTATCAGATCCCCTGGAGCTGGAGTTACAGATGGTTGTTGGCTGCCATGTGAGTGCTGGGAGTCAAACTCAGGTCCTCTGGAAGAGCAGTTAGTGTTCTTAACTGATAAGCCATTGCTCTAGCCCTTAGCATTTCTTAATGCTGGTATTGTAATTGTTTGGAGGGTATGATCTGAATTCACAGAATTAATTCCCTTCCTTTGAGGTGAAAGCGAAGTTAGAAGCAGAGAAATGTTTCAGTTCATTACTGATGAGTGCCATAACCTTATTACATTTTCTGGGTTTTGTTTTGAGACAAGATTTCTTTATATAGTCCTGGGTCATTGGGAACTTAATATGCAGAGTAGGCTAGCCTTGAACTCAAGAGATCTGCCTGCCTTTGCCTCCTGCTATTAAAGGTGTGTGTTTTCAATTGAAAAGAAAGTCTATTGTGTATGTACCTGCATCACTACATGTGTGTGGAGGCCAGAGGACAACATGCAGGCGTTGTCTCACAAAGGAGTTGTCACCACAAAGCCAGGAAGATGCTTGAATGCCAAGTAAACTTGTTCAGGTACTTGGCAGTGATTCTCAGTAGGTAAGCTTCTATATCCTGTGACTGAATACTCAGTTTAAAAAAACAGGACGTGGCATTACACGGTGGGGGGATTGCTTTTTCCCGTGCCTTTGTCAATACAGGCAGTAGCTGTGCTGGCATGCTCTCATCGGGAGCACTTGGTCACTCTCCCTGTCACTCCATGTGCTGGTTACCCTGTCTTTAGGATTTACTTTTACTCCTTCTAACTATGGCGTGTGTGCGTGCAAGACTGCAGGGCTAAAGGTGCCGGAGCACTGGAGCTGCAGGCAGTTGTGAGGCTCCCGGTGTGGGCTGGGAGCTGAACTCCGGTCCTCTGGAGGAGGAGTACACATGCTTAACTGTAGCAGGAATCTTAGAGTCTTATTAATAAATCAAACCTGAGCCAGGTATTGGGGTGAAGCTGGAAGATCAGAGAGACAGAACAAGCCACAGCTACCTCACCTGGCCAACTTCTCAGCTGATCCTGTTTCCTCAGACTGGAAGCCTCTGTGTCCTCATATCCGAATGGCCCTCAGCTGAACTGTGCTGCTCAAAACCTAAAAGCTTAACCAGCCAAATGCTTAACCAGCCAAATGCTTAACCAGTCAAATGCTTCTAGTTTCTGGTCCTCACACCTTACATATCTTCCTGCTTTCTGCCTCACTCCTTGGGATTAAAGGCGTGAGTCACCATGCTTGGCTGTATCCTTGAACACATGGATTTCTGCCTCTGGAATGCTAGGATTAAAGGCGTGTGCTACCACTGCCTATCCTCTATGTAAATATTGTGGCTGTTTTGTTCTCTGACCCCAAATAAGTTTATTAGGGTGCACAATATTTCAGGGAACACAATACCACCTGACTTAACTGCTGAGAACCACCCCATTTTAGCCTGTCTTTTGTTTGTGTTTGTTTTTTGAGACATGGTTTCTCTGTGTAGCCCTGGCTGTCATGGAACTCTGTAGACCAGGCTGGCCCTGAACTCACTAAAGGTTTGTGCTACTACCACCTGGCAGTGAATTTGTATCTTAAGAAATAATTTCGAGCCGGGCGGTGGTGGCGGTGCTCGTCTTTAATCCCAGCACTCGGGAGGCAGAGGCAGGCGGATCTCTGTGAGTTCGAGGCCAGCCTGGTCTACCAAGTGAGTTCCAGGAA